GGCAGAGAGGTCGAGAATTGTTGGTTCTTACTGGAGACTTGGAGTTATTCGAGCGGGGAAGGGTAATGGATAAGTTTGAAGAACCAGGAGGATCTTCAAAAGTGTTACTAGCTTCAATTACAGCTTGTGCTGAAGGCATTAGTTTGACAGCAGCCTCACGGGTCATCTTTTTGGATTCAGAGTGGAATCCTTCCAAAACAAAGCAGGCTATGGCACGAGCTTTTAGACCTGGTCAACAGAAGGTGGTTTATGTGTATCAGCTCTTAGCAACAGGTACGCTCGAGGAAGATAAGTATAAAAGAACAACATGGAAGGACTGGGTTTCAAGTATGATTTTCAGTGAAGAATTTGTGGAGGATCCTTCACAATGGCAATTGGAAAAGATTGAAGATGATGTTTTAAGAGAGATTGTGGAAGAAGATAGATCTAAATCATTCCATAAGCTCTTGAAAATAGAAAAAACTTCTACTATTTGATGAGCAGCTAGCTCTCCCATATAATAACAGGTAGAAGCAAAAGAATCATTTTCTTGACAGGTATGAACTCTCTGTCTCATACATAGCCTTTCTTTTTTCAAATCAAGATAAGTTATAAGCCATTTGTGGTACATAAGCACTTCCAATCAACTTTTGCTCATGCATAAAAATTGAGAGAATGAAGGGACAGGTTTATCTGCTGATGTTATGACTATTAAGGTGGGATTCTATTCCCTCACAAAGGAGAGAGTGAAATGAGAGTTACCTCTTGTTGTTTAGTTGAGGGAATGAACTAAGTTGATTATCTCCAGTTCTATAACCCACAATATGCTGATTCACCTCTTATGAATCCAAATTTAACTTGTTGCTTCAACTACAACATTACTGGTGCTTATTTATAGGTACAGGAGCCCCAGTATGTTTTGCTATTTATAGTTAATAGCTGGCTGGCTATGTTTCGTTGTCACCCCGATTATTATTAACTACGTTTTTATTCAAATATTTGAATAACTAACTAACAGCGAAAATGGTACAAACAGTAACTAAAATATTAATGAAATATAGTCGAATGATGATGAGATATAGTTGAAATTGATGAAAAATCCGGTATCTCCAACCCTTTAGAGTAGTAGCATATGTTTCTTTTCTGGAGGTTGTAGTAGCAGCATATACTTGCGCAGTATGCTCGAGCATCTTTAACATTTTCGAATGCAGAGCTTTTTGAAACTATCTGAACTGTTATGCTTACATCCACCACAGCGTAACTGTACTATTCATTTACTTTTATTTGCAATTACAACTTGGTTGAAGTCTCTTGTATATAAAGTAGCACAGGCCTCTAGCAGATTCATTGCTTGCTTATCCACTTGGACACACACACACACTATATATATATATATATATATATATATATATCAACTTGGCTACTATTGATGATTATCATGCAGTTCTACTTGATTGATTTTTCTGCGTGGGTAACATAAATGCTACTAGCTTGAATGCTTTATAGTCTAAAACAAATTCAAATTGTACCAGTTGCAAATTTCCTCTCTACTTTTTTCTTTTTCCTGATGGATATAAACTCATCGAGTGCCTGCTGACATTTAAAGGTACTTAAAAGAAGCATGTGAAGTTTGAAAAATTCTAAACTAGTGTGTGTTAAAAATAATAATTTGTAAATTTCAACATAAAAAATTACTTTTTGGAGCTTTGAATTTTATTTATTTTCTTATCTATAACAGCTATATATATATATATATGTATCATTTTTCATTTTTTAACAGTCACGATATCTTCTATCAGGTGTATGATTATGGTACTGTTAGGAGACTGATTAATTTCAGCTACCAAGTTTTCTGGTGAAATTAAACACAAAGAAAGCGTGGTTAATTAATTTACCACCCTTCCTTAGAACATAGATAAATACATGTGTGTATGTATATATAATATTATAAATATATCAACCGTGATAGGAGTTGTTGGGAACAAGGAAATTCGAAGAAAAGACAAACAGGAAGAGTTTTAGAAAGGACTTGGAATCATATTTTCTACAAGTCAATAGTAACTACGAAGATAATTAATTAATTTTGTTCTTTAAAGAATATATATATATATATATATAATAATTAAGTAAAGAGGAAATTAGTAAATTAAAGGGTAAATAATTAAAACCTCAACTAGTAATTAATTACAAAGTTTAATTTATATATGATTATTATAAATTATTAAAATAAATAATAATCATAATAAGTCACAAGTAAAAATATGTTTGGGTAATCAAATAGGGACAAGTTGGAAAAACTAATCCCACTAGAATAATTTCCGTACCAAACACCAACCTTTCTCTATCTTTTTTATAATATATGATTATAAGCAATTTGCTATTGTTCATGTTCTTTTTCATGCTTTCTAAAGAATTGGTTGAGGCTAGCTACGAATTCTTCTCGTGAAGTTCATAACTTGGATTAGGTTACAATTCCAATATCTATATATCTATATCTATATATATATATATATTATACGGCATGAATATTATAATTACAATATGGGTATGTACATGCACATATTTTGTTTATGTACGGCCAATTTGATATTCTTTTTTCATTTAATATATTTTCTAATATTGTATAATCTTGATAACTTAAATTTAATTGTGAAACTTGTTAATACAATATTTATTTATCTCCTAAAAAAAATAGTTATTTGGATCGGACTTATCTCTTTTTCTAGCTTTTTTTTTTAAAAAAAAAAAAAAATTGATTCTGGTAAGCTTATCAAGAATTCTCAAACTTTTTGATAGTATATATTTATCCATACGTACTAAATTTAAACCCTTAGAAGAAATTAAAATACTATAAATGAAATAATTAAATTAAATATTTTGATATGTATATAAGCTTAATTTTTTATATCCACATATAATATTAGTAGATACATTTAATATGGTTTATATATATATATATATATGTCTAAATTGCTTATAAAGCGAAAATTTGCAAACACAATGTTCTAATCCTCATAATTGACTAAGATTGAAAATGACTCTATTAGATCACATGGTAGCTAAATACATATACACACACCCTTTTGTAAAACAACAAAGTTCTCATCACTCCATACATGCAAGTTTCATATAAATACATATTATACGTGCACATATAATATCTATCGACCTATATATGTCTATATATATTATATAGAGTAAAACCAAATTCTTTAAGTTTAACTCACTTCTATATATGTACATATACCAAAATATCAACCTCAACAAACTTCTTTTTCCTTTTAATAGATAGAAATAAATCCCTTTAGCTACTTAAATGGATATATGGAAGAAAAAAAATCCAAATTAAATAGATTATCCCACATCATCTCCAATAAAATTCAATTAAATAAAAAAAAATTGATAATTAAAAAATAATAAAAAAATGTTGCCCTAAAATTTTGGAAAATTAAAATTAAAAAAAAAATCAGAATTACCAAAAAGAAAAAAAAAAGTGAAAAGTAAAGAATAATAAATCTTAAATAAAATAATTATATAATCCGACCTAAACTAAGTCCAAAAGAAGTTTGCAAGTTGCCTATCCACTTGCAGTTCCTGCTTGTTGTTATAAGCTGCTTTTGATTTTTGCACACCTTTTCCTCACAACCGACAAGTACACACTATTTAAACCCTCTCTTTCTCTCTCTCTCTCTCTCTCTCTCTCTCTCTCTCACACACACACACACACACACATATATATATATATACCTACAACATATCGTATACACCACAAACACCCCCCCAAGAGAGAAGAAAAATGCCCAGTACCTCTTTACAGATTCACAGAACCACCACCGCGTCCACCTCGTCGCCGACGGGGGATTATCAGAAACAGCCGCACCCTACCGTACGCGTAGTACAGCTCACACGCGGCATGTCTTCGGTTCCGGACGGCGTAGCGCGTTACCACACGCATGCTCTGGGTCCCAACCAATGCGGCTCCGCGTTCGTGCAGTCCGTCGACGCGCCGGTGGGAACCGTCTGGTCGCTCGTCCGCCGCTTCGACAAGCCGCAGGCATACAAGCACTTTCTAAAAAGCTGCCACGTCATCTTCGGGGACGGCGTCGACGTGGGGAGTCTCCGGGAAGTCCACGTGGTCTCCGGCCTGCCAGCTGCCTCCAGCACGGAGCGACTCGAGATCCTCGACGAAGAACGCCACGTCATCGGGTTCCGTATCGTCGGCGGTGACCATCGGCTACGTAACTACCGATCCGTCACCACCCTCCACGCGTCTCCCGACGAGGAGGGGACAGTTGTCGTCGAATCATACGTCGTCGACGTACCGTCAGGTAACACTAAGGAGGACACATGCGTCTTCGTCGACACCATTGTTCGCTGCAACTTGCAGTCGTTG